AAATTCACCATTGTAAGATCTTTTGATAGAGTACATGAGATGGTCAAAGCAGTATTTGAGGAAGCATATTCCAGTAGTGATATATAAAATGGATAAGAACGGGTGAGGGATTGGAGAGAGGAAGGCCAGGTTTGGTGACCAAGGCCACAGTTTTATTTATAAGAATGTCAGCCTTTCTTGTCACATGAGCTAAGACCTTCTGACCTTAAACCTTGACATTTTATAGCTTGTGTTTTCAAGGTCACTGAAATGTAGGAATTGTCAGGGTTAAGGACAATGGCTAAGCAAAAATATTATTCTGTATCAAGTCTGAGACTATCTCATTTTATGAAGTCAAGAGGGAGTATAGCTGGTAAAGATAATTCCAAAAATATGTTTCATACTCATTTTTCTTTTTTGGGTAGAGAACCTAAAGAGCTGTGAAGTGGTCATAGAAACCAACAAATAGGGTTGAGGAATGGGCCTGGAGAATTTTTCACTCAGTAATCAGTGTCTGAATAAAAAGATAGCATGTCTGAATCTAGAGTGACTTTGACCTTATGAGCAACATTTTCTTTCTGCTTAAGATTATTGTCTTCATGTTAAGAATTTATTATTTATTGAAATCACCTATATGAGAGTAGCATCTAATTTTATCTGTTTTAGCTTGCCAGTTTTTATAAATCCATTTTCAATGTACACTATTAAATATGAAATAGAATTTTCCTGCAGCTTGAAAAATTCTAGGTACTATGGAATTTCTAATAATGCGTTTGTTCCTTTATTTACATTTCTTGACTTCGTTCCCAAAAGAATTTGAAGCATCATTCTCATTATGTAGGTTTTTTAATTCTTGGCCTCTTAACATGCAAAAATAATTCCCAGATCACGCCTTTATTGATTGTACTTATTCTATAGCTGACACTTGATACATTTGCACTGTTGTGTTCTTGTAAAGCACCTTCTGCTATTTCACACTGATACCCATTTGTGTGTGTGTGTGTGTGTGTGTATGGGAAATTTGAATCTTTTATTTTCATTTGAAAAAGTTAACATGTGATTTTCAGTTTTCTTTTTTGTGCCTTTCTGTGTTTTGTACTGTGAACATATATTGCTTTTATAATCGGGAAAAAGCTAAAAGGGAAAATAGGCAGACAGACAGACAGATAGATAGGTATCAAACGCACATACTGTCCCTTCCTGAAACTTCATGGGCTTTCATATCAAGTGGTGGTGTGAGTTTAATTGAAATTATTTTTGTCATGTCTTTGTTCCTTAGGCTAGAATTTTGTTGCCACCCCAACAAAAATGATCCATTTTATTTCTCTCACCACTAGTGATTACTGAAGTAGAGAATATACAGCAGTTAGAGGGTGAGGTGCACGCCTGGGGACTAGCGTTTGTCACATGAACAGTACTGGGCATGACATTGATGAGGCGTAAGGGTTTGGGCTTGATCTAATAGGTTTGGGTCAAGCTCTTTCCTATAATGAACTAGGGTATAAACCATTGAGCTCCATAGCATTCTCTGTGAGCTTCTTGGAGCTTGGGTTATGAATGAAGCTTCTTGTATGATCAGTAGGAGGAGGCTGCAGGTGTGGAGATAACTCTAATCATATTGGTATCTTTCATGAAGGAAGCAGTTCCAAGAGCACTTGAACTCCATCCACACTGAGTGTTTTTTCAGATAAAAGCAACTTCTTGCCAGTAGAGAATATTTGGAAAGCAGTAGGTGGGTGGGATTATGGCTAGGCTGACTTTGTAGTTGGATAGTGACATGTTGGTTATTGGTTTTAAGTGTTTTGATTTTTCACAGCAGCTAACACAGTTTACCTGGAAATACTGGCTTGGCTCTATCAATTAAAGATGAAATTAGAATCTGAGCTTGTTTCTGTTGCTTCATCCAAAGGATTATAAATATTACTTAAGTCATTTTGGATATTTGATTCCCAGTGAAGAATAATTTATCAAGTTTGTAATATTTTCTTCCTTTTTAGCTCATGTTTTACTTGGTAGACAGGGATAGACACTTTAGATCACTGAGTAGTACTGAGCAGGCTCAAGTATTGGGGTGACTGAGGCCCTCGCCCTCCCTATTAGGCATTCACTGTACTGAGGGCTCCTGATGCCCATCCTCCTACCTGGAAGTGAACTATTCCTTTCTTGAATTTACTGACATTGTTCATTTGGCACTTTTTGTTTGCTCCCTTATATGTATTCCTCTTGCTTTGGTATGTATTTAGTAGACCCTTGACCTTGATAAGCCCTCAATTCCCACGTGTAAGTACAACTGAATTTATCACGTTGAATTAAGTGCAACTGAAAAGCTTAAGTGACCGCTTCAGACCTTTAGTAACTGTGCAACAATGACTAAAGCCATAAAACTGTTCATTTATATTAAATTAATATCAATAAAATAAAAAGCTATAATAAACTACTAAAACAAACTATATTATGCAAGCCTTTGTTGAGACAAGAACTTCTCCTCACCCCTTAGTGCCCTCAGATTGGCAAGATGGTGAAACAGGTCTGACTTGATCCTAAAGCCTGCCACATAGCCACCAGAGAGTCATTTAGTGCTTGGCCAGCTTTAACTTTTATGTTGCTTTCGCCTTCTTGGATAAGTCAGTTGACAAAAGCTTTTTCTTCAAAATAGTTTGGTTTGTGCTAAACTCTTGTTCTAGCATTGATCCTTCTTCATAATAAGCCTCCCCAGCTTGAGAGGAATGTACTGTCCAAGCAGTAGGTCTCCTGATGCTATGCTTCTTTTCTTGTCAGAACATGCAGAGGAACACCCTAATAGTCTAAGCTAACTTTTAGTTACAGTGAAGTTTAGTTCAGTAGCCACAGTAGTAACTTAAATGACTGTTCTCACATTTTAGTATAGGTTCCAAGATCTCTTGCAATTACTTTTCTATTGAGAATCACTTATTTCTCTCCCTGTCAGACACACACATGCACACACACAGCATTGTTAGATGCTATCGAGTCAGCTCAGACTCATGGCATCCTTAAGTGTAACACAAAATGTTGCTAGTCCTGCACCGTCTTCATGATCATGGGTATGTTTGAGTCCATGTTTATGGCATATGTGTATATAGTACAGTATGTGTGTGTGTGTATATATGTATATATATATACTGTGTGTGTGTGTGTTCCATCACTGGGAGACATTAAGAACTGACTGCAGGCAATTATACAAGGGACACTTGTGCTGTTCACTTATTGGACCCTTATAGGTGATTTGCTTACGGGCAGGGTGAATTTGATCTAAGACGATACTCCAGCTCAGTTTAAGAATTCCCCTCCCCCCACTACAAACATATTTAATATAACCAAATACCTATTTTCTTTTTTTCTGGTCGGAGAACTCCTTCTCTTGCCTGAAAATCTCTAGACTTCATTTCCTTTGTCCAGCAATTGGACCCCAATTGTCAGTCATCTTAGAGAAAAAACTTCCCCTCTCCCCATCATGACCTTCCTTTGTTTTGCTAATAAAAGCAGCTAAAAGCATTAAAGTGCCTTTCTTACACAAGGCTGTTTCCCCTCTGCCCTCTTTCCCCTTTGCCTCCACTGTTCCATGTGAATAATACATCCTGATCACACAAGTCACTGCACTTACCTGCTTTTCTTTTTCTTCCTGCTGGAAGGTAAGTTCTGCAAAGGCAGGGGACATATTTGCGTGTCCACCCTAGTACATGGCAGGCACTCAGGGTGCTTTCCAAAGAGAAATGGCATACTAGTCTTTGCTCTTGTGGACTGTAACCCCGGCATCTGTGCATAATGGCATAAATACACACTTGGATGGAAGAAGTCACAAGTAGGCCAGTTCCAGATACAGGCCTCAAGGAAAAATGGATTGGGGTCAAGATTAGGAAGAGCAATTTTGAGAGCTTTATGGAAAAGTGAAGAAGGCATTTCCAAAGGATTAGAAATATATTCCTGATGCTTTGATTACCCTGTGAATAACAAGGGGGAAATTAACACCTTATTATTGGAGAAAAGTTCTATTGCACTTTCAAGAAGGAAATTGAATACAAAGGTATATGTTGTAGTTTTTTTGTTTTTTAATTTTATTGTAGTAAAATATATATAGCAAAGCATTTGCCATTTTAGTCATTTTTTACATGTGCAGTTCAGTGACGTTAATTACATTCATCATGTTGTACAACCATCACCACTATGCGTTTCCAAATATTTTCCAAACAGAGACTCAGTTGTTAGTTGCTGTCAAGTCAGTTCTGACTTATGGCAGCGGCCTTATATGTAACAGAATGAAGTGTTACCTGGTACTGCACCATCTTCATGATCATCGGTATGTTTGTTGTAGCTTTTGTGTCAGTCCACCTCACTGAGGGTTTCCCTCATTTTTCGCTGATCCTCTGCTTTACCTAACATGCTGCTTTTTCTAGCAATTGATCTTTCCTGATGACATGTCCAGAGTAAATGAGCTGAAGTCTCACCATACTTTCTTCTAAGGAGCATTCTGGTTGTATTTCTTCTAAGACTGATTTGTTCATTCTTTTGGCAGTCGAAGGTGTATTCAGTATTCTTCACCAACACCACAATTTGAATGCATCAGTTCTTCTGTCTTCCTTTTTCATTGTTCAGCTTTCACATGTGATGGAGAAAGTCAGTACCCCTTAAGAAATAACTCCCTATTTTCCCCTCCTACCTGCCCCTGGGAACCACTAATAAACTTTGGTCTCTATGCATTTGCTTATTCTGGATATTTTATACAAGTAAGATCATACAGTATTTGTTCTTTTGTGTCTGGCTTCTTTCACGTAGCATAATGTTTTCAAGGTTCCTTCATGCTGTACCATATATCAGAACCTTATTTCTTTTTGTGGTTGAGTAATACTCCAGTATATGTTGTTTTAATCTGCAGTATAGATAAGTTGTATTCATCAATTGTATCTGTGACATCTGGAGTAGCCTCTTTGGTTAAATAAACTAGCTGTTTTCTTTTAACTGCATTTGCCTCTGAGAAGTTATTTATTTATCCATCCTTTGAACAGCATCCTGGTGGGGAAGAAGTCTTAAGGGAACAAGCTGGCGGTGATGCTACCGAGAACTTTGAGGATGTTGGGCACTCCACAGATGCTAGAGAAATGTCCAAAGCATACATCATTGGGGAGCTTCATCCAGTAAGTACATTTTTTGGGACCTCTTCTTATTTATTTTTAAGGCTATTGGTTGACCTTGCCCAAGTCAGTAGACTGGCATAGGTACAAAATTTGAAAAGGAGAAGAGCAAAAACAACTCCTCCTGAATTTGGAACATCATTTTTGTCATAAATAAATTGACCAAAATTTTCTTTGCATATTATTCACTGGTTGCTTTTTCACTGGCAGAATCCCCTAGCTCTAAGGCTATGTCCAGGGGAAGCTTCGTGTAGCAAATTCTAAAAAGGTAGGGGTATTGGCCCAGCAGTTTTCTTTTTTAAACTTTTGACCAAAATGTTTTTCTTAAGAAACTACCTTCTACTTTCATAAGTTTGAGGATATTTTAATACTAAAAATGATCTTGAAAATTTAAAAATAAGCTTTGTTAAATAAATAAGTTCTGCTGTAGGTAAAACCTAGCACATTGTCCTAATTTTTCCCACTTTGCCTCAGATGTTTGAGAACATCAGCTTTGGTACCAATTCCTGGATTGGCTTTTGGGAAACACTGGCTTAACTTAGCTTTTCTGTAGACACAGAGCTGAACTCTGGCCATAGGCCCTTCTGTGGCAGTAATAAATGACCATGTGGAACTTCACTGGTCTGTCAACCTAGCTTATCAGGAATATAGCTGAAGACTGGGAAGGAAGTAGCCAAGCCTTCCAGAGTGGATGGGCAGACCCCACTGCTGTGCATTCAGCTGTCCCTTTTACCTCCAGAGAGCATTTCACCTGTTCTCAGGGCCGATTTCCTCCTTTCTCCTTACAGTGCTCATGATGTATTCCTTATGAGGAGCCAGCCTGGAGGGGGTTGAGGGGCTGCTGGAGAGAAGCAGGAGCCCTTAGAAGGGAAAAATGTAGGCAGAAAGCCTCTCCCGAGTGAGCAGACTGAGAAACCATTAAAAAACAAAGCCCATTCCTAAAGTCTTACTGTAAATAATTGGTACTCCTGGTAGTGACTGCAAGTGAAGGAATGGTTAAATTAGCCTCTTCTAAGAAGGCTGGAAAGTAGGGAATCTGTTTTAGAATGACTTCTGTTGGGAGGAGAGTTGCTTTTGGTGGTGAAGATGATATGAGGCAGTAAACATCATTTATCTGTAAAGTTTATTTGCGCAAACATTTGCATTTTTAGGTTTGCCACAGAAGTGGTTTTGTGGTAATCAGAGGCCTGCTGTTAAAATGCTCAAGTCCATTGTTATTCTGATCCATTCCAAAGCTCTGGGTTTTCAGGCCCTGTCTGTAGTATTTCTGCTTTAACAGCCTACTGTGCTTACCTGTGCTCAACCTTTTGACCCACTTGATTGTGAACAGCCTCAGCCTAAGGTTTAAGTAGCTCATGACCTTGTAATTGGAGGATTGCAGGAATTCCCTGAGGATATCACAAAAGTAAGGATGTATGTACACATCTGAAAGGGACTATGAAAGAAAAAGGGAAAAACTCTGGAATTCAGGATCACCTCTGAGTCTAATTAATGTATATATATGTCAGCATACAAATGTGACATTCACAGATGCCAGGCTCTAGATGGAAAATACCTCTCAGCACTTAATCTGCTATTAATTTTTGCAGTCAAGTCAGATGGATTAAATTTTGTGTTTAACAACCTAGATAGACAAACCCAAATTGCTAATTACTGAATAGTATTTTTTTTTTTTTAATCTCATTAAAAACAAGCACTTCAGAAATGGTACACTTAGTGTGTTTTTTCATTCTTTAATGTGCCTTTTTTTTTTTATTGCAGGATGACAGATCAAAGCTAGCCAAACCTTCGGTAAGTGTAACAATCTCAAACATCTCAGTGGATATAGATATGTTCATTATATTTTATATTTGTCAAACTGGAAGGCAAAGGTCTCTTACCTACCTGAGGTCAACAAAGTTCTTTCCTGGTAGGATGAATATGTAATCTGTTAGTTCAGCAAAATTTTTTAGTTGTATAGACCAGTCAGTATATTTTGTTAGGATAGCTTGTATGTTATCTTCATAAGACTCTTAATACTTAAAATAATACTTATCAGTAAATACCTTTTGAATAGCTACTTTTTATAAGTTACCTTGTGCTTTTGATCTGAAAGGTGTGACACAATCACTGTTTTCAGATAACTTAAAATCTGATTGCTAGAAGTCTTATGAATTCTTTGAGGACACTACCCATGTCTTCTTCATCTTTACATCTCTGAACATAGTAGGTGCTCAGTAAGTATTTGTTGGGTGAATTTAATTATAATTAAAAGAAATAATAACTTTTTGATGCATTTTTCCTTAGGATAGGAAAGTAATTCTGGAAATACTAATTTTACGCTCTGGTTCACTAGCCCTTCTCTGTAAGCTGACCATCTCACTTATATTTGAAGATAAATCCATAGTAAGTTTTGATGAGAACAGCCATGAAGTGGTTAGCCAAAGTGCCTGGAAAGTACACGTAGGCAAAATAGTTTCTGGCTGTAATTAAAGGACAGTGGGGGGAAGTTTTGCTTAAAATAAATAGTGAAATTATGGTATTTGTGTTTTGGCCTAGGCTCTTGGCTTTATTAGAAAGGCTGCAACAGCAAGGCTCCACTGAGCTGATTTTATTAAGACCTACTAAACTCATGTTAATAGCTGTTGCTGACTAGACATTGCCTTTAATCTAGAGCAGAATCTAAGCAATTAATCCAGTAATTCAAGTATAAAGGCCATCTTTACCCCCAGATAGTGCAATAAAAACCTTGTGTAATGCTACTTCCTATTCAGAAGGCTTAAGTTCAACATTGGTGATATCAGCACTTCAGGAAGATAAAAAACCGACGTCAGAATTTCAGTTGTCTTTGCAACAATTGCTTAGAATCCTTGCTGTTAGTTCACCTGACTGTATAATCTTTTTTGAGGCTACTTTTAGGATAGCTGAAATTTCTGTGCTGAGTACAATTTTTTCTTTCTCCCCACAGTCTGTCATGGAAAACATATATTTTTCCTGTCAGGTGTTCAGTATATTAAAAATCTTGGTGTAAATTATTTAGCTACAGTAAAGAATGGTGTGATTCGGCTCATACATGCAGGTCAGACCATGTCCCTAACCATAAAGGCTACAAGCAGAAAGTGCCAGTAAAGAGAGGCGAGAGCCCAGGTGGTCAGCCTATCTCTTACCATAACAGCGTTGTTTTCGAAGTGCAGATTCTTCCCCTCTTTATTTACTTTGAGAACGTGTGCATGACAACCCATACAGTATGCCGTACCACTTGCCCATCATATGTTGTTCTCTGTTTGTATTTATTTTTCTATTTTAAAATGCCATTCACTTTAATACTTTAAATATTTTGGAGACAGAGCAAGATTCCATGGTAAATGCTGGGACTTTTGCTTTCAATATCAAGGAAAGCTCTCCTGACAACATTAAGACGCTGGGAAGCTCTCTGTGTTGAAAGGCTTTGCTTTACTACATTTCATCATTGGCTTTAGATATCTATCTGATCATCTTGCTGGGTATAGAAGGCCTCACTGGAGATGTAAGAATCATACTAACTTTTTAACGTAGATAATTTTTACTCTCTTCAGAGATTTTACAGAGTGACCAACTTTTGACGGTTTTACTTGAACAGTGATCTTCCTCACCTATTGTAACTTTGGTCAATTAAATTAGAGGAGAGCTGGAGGAATGTGGGACAAGAATTTGCTGGTTTTCGTAGAGGCCTTAAGCAAATAAAATGAAAGAAAATAAATGACCATTTTTCTAGATTTGTCTTTCTTGTGCTTCTAGTTCACCAGAAGACAAGAGTGTCCGTCAATATTTTGTTGTGTGTGTATGTGTGTCTGTATAACCACCCATCTATCTCCAGACGGATACACGTGTCCTGTAGTCTGAATTTTTGAAGTGCTGCTGCTGAAAAAATCTAGTTCAGTTGTGAAAGGAGATGCACCAAAAATCACTAGCTGGTCCTGCCCGAGAAAGCATGATGTTAGTTTGCCAAATTAAGGTGATATTATGTCCTACAGTCCAGTCCAATCTTTGTCTGAAGAGTTGGCCTCGGGAATGGTTTTAGTTCTGGGCTGATAGAGAATCCAGGCGCCATGCTTTCCGGGATTCCTCCAGCCTCAGTCAGACCATTAAGTCTAGTCTTTTTACTAGAATTTGAGCTGTGCACCCCAGCTTTCTCCTGTTCCATCAGGGACTCTCTGTTGTGTTCCCTGCCAGGGCAGTCATTGGTAGTAGCTGGGCACCATCTAGTTCTTCTGGTCTCAGGCTTATGAAGTCTCTGGTTTATGTGGCCCTTTCTGTCTCTTGGGCTAATATTTTCCTTGTGTCTTTGGTGTTCTTCATTCTGCTTTACTCCAGGGGGTTGGGACCAATTGATGCATCTTAGATGGCCGCTTGCAAGCTTTTAAGACCCCAGACAACACTCACCAAAGTAGGATGCAGAACATTTTCTTATTATAAGCTTTGTTATGCCAGTTGACCTAGATGTCCCCTGAAAGCATGGCTGCCAGACTCCTACCCCTGCTACTCTGTCCCTCAAAGCATTTGATTGTATTCAGGAAACTTCTTAGCTTTGGTTTAGTCCAGTTGTACTCACTTCCCTTGTAGTGGGTGCTGTCCTTCCCTTCACCTAAGATAATTCTTATCTACTATCTAGTTAGTAAATAACCCTCACACTCCCTGCCCACCCTCGAAACCATCAAAGAATGTTTTCTTCTGTGTTTAAACCTTTTCCTGAGTTCTTATAATCCTGGTCTTATACAATATTTGTCCTTCTGTGACTGACTAAATTCACTCAGCATAATGCTTCCTGCTTCCTCCATGTGATGTTTCACAGCTTCATCATTGTTCTTTATTGTTGTGTAGTATTCCATTGTGTGGATATACAATAATTTGTTTATCCATTCTTTCGTTGATGGACACCTAGGTTGTTTCCATCTTTTTGCTATTGTGAACAGTGCTGCAGTGAACATGGGTGTGCATATATCTATTCATGTGACGGCTCTTATTTCTCCAGGATATATTCCAAGGAGCGGGATAGCTGGATTGTATGGTACTTCTATTTCTAGCTTTTTAAGGAAGCACCAAATCGATTTCCAGAGTGGTTGTACCATTTTATATTCCCACCAACAGAGTATAAGTGTTCCTAGACTCTCTACAACCTCTCCAGCATTTATTACTTTGTGTTTTTTGGATTATTGTTAGCCTTGTTGGGGTGAGAGGATAGCTCATTGTAGTTTTGGTCTGCATTTCTCTAATGGCTAATGATCTTGAGCATTTCTTC